GTGTGTGTGTCTCTGTGTGTGTGTGTGTGTGTGTGTGTGTGTCTTTCAAGAGAAAAAAAATGTAATAATTGCAACACTGATCAAGGACTCATTTCAAATAGATACAGTACATGTTTAATGGGAAAATCTATGTTATTGCAAAGTTATGGGTGAGAATTCAGTGCATGAAAATGATAAAATTCAAACATATAATTCCCAGACAGTTATTCTTAGCCTTCTTTACTTGTATGTGAAATGACATTTTATAGAACCTTTATGATAGACATTTAGCAACAGAACAGAAGGAGACACAAAAAGATCTTCAGGTGGCTAAAATTGGTGTAACTCCATTGACTTCCGTGGGCTTTGGATGAGGCCCTTTACATATAAGGGATCTCCCTCAAACCTGTGAAATCATTCAAAATAGAGGAAACTTTTGAAATATGACACTGTATCTAAGTACAGGATCTGTGTATCCATTAAATAACGTATTGGTTTAACAATATCTACACTCACAGGAGGTCACCTGAGAACCCAACAGTTGTGGCCATGGACAGAAGGCAATCTTCCCTTGCTTACATCCAGTGCCCTCTGTATGCCATTCTACAGCCACAGAATTCCCCCTTTGCTGCAGAATTATGATCCAGAATCTGAACTTTTTCATTTAAAAAAAAACATTTAAAACTTTTGTGCTTGCGGAGATAACCTTGAAAACGTGAAGTGCGAGCGAGTGTAACTGCTGTGGTGACATCTGCCTGAAACAACAGCTCTGAGAAGTGTGAACTTGCCCCTTGAATCTCAGTTGAGCCCCTCAGACATCCTGATTCCAGAGCCATGGAATCTGGCATTTTTCCAAGGTGCCCCAGAATTTAGTATTTTTTGCCATGGGGCTGGACCAGCAAAATGCCCTAAAAGTGGAAGAGAGCTAGAGATAGACCCGAAAATGAAGCCAGTTGAAGACCAATGGTCTGTCAAGGTTTGGCCACAGTTTCTGTGGCAGAGGCACCAACAAAGGCACAATGCTCCAAAGAACCTCTTTGGATTCTAACTAGAGTTTTTTAATGGTGACAGGGCCACCAAGGTTATGTAACATGGTACAGCAATGGAAGCACACCAAGGCAATGTAATCTGAGGTGACAATGGAAGTGAAAGACATCATTTATCAATGTTTCATATCTTACTGGGAACTGATTGGCGAAAAGTGATAGAATGCAGCGGGGAGCCAGAACCATAAACAAGTGCACAGCTCCACTCTAGTGCTCTCTGATCGGAAAGGAATGGGACTAAGAATTAACCCCGATCTCTCTTACAAGAGTTCAGAAGTCAGAATGCTACTGAGTCCATTGCATTCTTTATCCAAAGTGTCACGGTGCTGCGTTGTACCACTGTGTTAGATAAATAGGTCTTAACTCCTCACTTAACATTATGTTATGTTATCTCTATGTTATGTCCCCCTTTCCTCCCCTGCCTCCTGAATGCTGCAAACCAACTGATTGCCGGGGGCAGGAGGCGGGTGGAGCAGGGGGAAGCCGCTGATCTATGGGTCCGCCAGTGGGCAGATGGGGGGGGGCGTAGGGGAGCTGATAGGGGGGGCTGCCAGCCATGGACAAAGCAGGCGGACAAACAACATTATTGCAGAACTTTAAACGAGCATGTTCTTCAAAGGAGCAGCGACGTAACATCGAAACAACGTTAAGCAAGAGGACGTTAAGCGGGGAGT